ATAGATATACAAGAAAGCAAACTATAAAAAGTACAAAGCTGCTTTAAAACGATATAACTCCAAGAGGGCTATTATTTCTTTCAATATAAAAAAAGGTAAAACTTTTAAAAGCTCTGCAAATTCAAAGAACGATTTGTTCAGCTGCAGTTGAGTCCTACTATTTTTCTTCCATTCTCAACCATCAGCTCGTTGAATAAGTGAGTCACTATACAAAAGTTCCTTGCGTTAGGCACTTGGAAGAAGACTCTTGCGAAGTATAACCTGATGGGTACACTAGTAGAGGCTTCCTTTTGGACATTGGTAACGAGAATCAAAGACAACCCAACGTTTCGTTTAAAAAACGGGTCTATCAATAGAAGAAATGTTCATTTCTACTAGGGACAAGTCAAACTTGAAAAAGAAGAGAAACGCCTTTTTATCCAAGTTGCTCTACAGAGAATAAAAATGTCGTCAACTCGCAAACAATATTCAGCAGAATAAGATAACACAAGTTATCTGATTCTTTTGCAGAGTCAAAATCTTAAATGATATTTTGGTTGTTATCCAAACCGGTAAAGGTCTTGTTCTTTTAAATATACTGGATCAATTTCGTCTATTAGTAAAAAAGAATATAAATGTAGAAATAATGGAAAAATAAGAATCTTTCATCTCTTCTTGGCAAAGTAATAAAGAAAGGTGAATCTTGAAATATATGTGCAAGGAGAACCAAAAGCATCACCACTTTTACTGTTGTTATACCAGTCAAAACTCTCTACAAGTTCTTTATGTAGAGAACAAAGCGTGACCCTTGTAACTTTTGAGGCTCTATCCTCCTTATCGTAAGTAGTTTGTGTACGTATTTGTGTATAGTCAAAAGTATTCCCAACCTTTGAACAGTTTTTTGTTGTAGCCTTGTCCTCTGTATACTTTCCAATTCTAGAGTTGAATATACGATTTATTCTTCTTTATAACTCGTAATCGAACAAAGATTGTTCCTTGAGCGTAATTTGCATAGAAGGAAAGGTTCTATCTCTCACAATGCAAGCCAAACAGAGTAAATGTCAGTGAAATTGGAAAATGACCATTTTACATCTTTAAGGAGTTTTCCTTAATTTTGAGTGACCAACAAAGAAAGGTTCTCAGATCGAGAACGAGTCAAAAGCTGGTTGTAGCAAAACCCGTTCTTGATTTGTTATCAAAATAGGCTCACAAGTAGTTTGAAATTTACCTTGCAGAGACAAGATTGATCAAACTCAACTCTGTTAAAAGGCTACAGTGTCGCTAGGGAGTTGAGAGGACCTTTGTTACGACACTGTTCTTCTCGTTTCACAACAATACTGAGATGTGAGATTGATTGTATCTAGCACACTTATTGTTCCAGAACCTTTTTACATATCTCCAAGTGGAATATTTTCTTTCATAAAACTCACTAGTCACTTAAAATAATATATCTCCAGTGAAAGGAGACAATACATAGCGATCCTTCTCATAACAATCCAATTAGAAATGAACATAATGGTTTGATTGTTGGATGAAACAGGAAGGCTCAGTGAGTGTTGTCAAGGCTGTGGACCTGATTCAAGTTTGCTAGTGAAACTTCTCAGACTTTAATTGCTAAAACGAATTCTTCGTTCGTTTTTGTTGGACAAGTGAATTTCTATTATCTACGTTTCTTTTTAAGCCCTTCAAATGTTTCTTTTAGAACAATCCATCGATTCCTGTGCCCTGAGTTCCAAGTAGACTGTAATTTCTTTTAGTATTTACAACTTTTATTATCTCTTTGGAATTTATATACTGTATGCAACGCTTGTTGTTATTTCACTTCTGGTCTTGTATGGAAATTTGAGATTAGCGTTGTCGAGAAGAGAGCAAAGACAAAGGAGTATAAGCTGTCGTTGAGTGTTGGTAGATTAATCAATTAGTTGTCTCACAAGTTTGTTTATTTTTATAGATAATTGTTTCAGAACATTTTTGCCTATTTATTAGCAGTTGAAAGTCCTGTAGTCTGTTGTTGAGAAACAGTCTTTGGGTTGATATTTCCAAGATATTCTGCAAGAACAAGAAACCAGTTAGACTCTCAGTTGAGTCTTTTAGTCAGTACACAGAATTATATTCCGTATAGTAGTTTTTTTTGCCTTCTATATGACTCTTTTCACGATGGAGAAATCGGTCTGTAACTCTGCAACAGGCATTTCTCAGGATAGCATAGGAAAGTCTCGAGTCCATCATTGCTGACACGAGCAATTCACTAATGCGGCACGTGTGGAATGTTTGCTTGGATAATGGATTAGAATATCCACCAACTTTGTCTATTAGAAGAAGTTGCTTTGGACTAGTTTAAGAGCTCATAAATGTCATTGAAACTTTTGTTTTAAAAGGTGGTTCTTCACTTGGCTGTTGTTATTCGTTTAAAAATTGCTGATAGATAACAGGCAAACAACGAATCCTTGCAGTATTTATTACCAGCTTTTTTCATTTTGACATGTCGCTTTGTTTTTGTCGTTTCTCGTAGACGTCTATATGAAGGAACAAGTTGTAGGTACTTAAGTTTTCGAGCTCTCTGTATTTCTTTGGAAGAAGATCTTGTTGTCAATCACTAGAAAGGTACAAAGGAAAGATAAATAACAATGAAATAATAAGAAGAGACTGCTAGCCCTACTCTTTAAGACTCGCCAGGTCTATTAACGTGGATATCAGAGTTGCCTAGAGTCGTACAAAGACTCTGTCATAAATGGAGTATGTCCCTACCAAGTTACTTAACAAAGTTTTCATTTTAGATATTCATAATTCCAAGACATTTCATTGGTGACAAAACTTCTTTTCGTTGTTGAAACTATTCCTTATCACGTTGAAAGGACCCAACACTTGTCTACAGATATCTCTTGACGTTACCTCACGCCTGGTGTCAATCCAAATGCTTCTATAAAAAAAGAGTAGTTCCTTTGGCTTTGGATTAGGCAAGTTCAAGTACTCAGTTGCAACAAGTTGTATAGAATCCCTTTTGTCCAAAGTAATTCAAGATTCTCTCATTTACTGAGATATTTTTGTAGGTCTTCGTGTATAACTTGCTACAGAAAAACATCCTCTAGAACCTGATTAATCTTGCAACTCGTTGTTGTTTTCTTATCGACACAAAAAAATGCCAACTCGATTTGTTCTTAATGTGCTTGAGTTGGTTCATTTACACTTGTAGTATCAACAACTTCAGCATTTAGAGAATGTTATGACAACAAGAAGACGTTCTATTTACAAAGACAGCTTTGTTAGAATCCTAAAACAATTTACATTTTCTGCTTGTTCCAAACATTTCGATATCATTATGAAACGCAACTACATCCAACTTCACTCTCATAGGACAACACAATATCAGGAAGCACAAGTACATTTTACTCCAAACAATTCATCTTCTCTACTGGAGTGTTCCTTGCTATACCGAGCAGCAGAACTAGACGAGGCTTCCATAGTGTGGTTCCTGATATGATTCTCTTCCATCTTTTGAGTTTCGTTTGCATTATCATCGCCTCTATTTTTTGCATTTCTATTCATGACCTTACTAAACATCTTCGAAACTCCTTCAAGGTTTTTCTTGGCTATTTGGAAAAACGAGTCCTCGAACAACCGATGAGTGGCTTCCATTTCAAGTCCTTTCGTTTCTGGAAGAAACAGAAATATAAAAATGGTAGACAATATTGTGAAACCACCAAAGAAACCAAACGCTCCCTGTGCATGCATTGAATTCAACATTGTCGGCCAAGAAAACGATACAACAAAATTCAGCATATAACTACAAAAAGAGTTCAAAGTAAGGCATTGCGTCCGAATTTGCCATGGAAATATTTCTGCAGTAATAACCCAAGGCATGGGTCCTATACCAGGTCCTAAAAACAAGCGAAATAGCAGCGTTCCAGTAATATTTAATACCAGTCTGACTTTTTTGTCTCCAAAAAATGAAAAACCACACATCCATAAGCTAATTGCGACAAACGGCATAGTAGACAGAAGCAGAATTCTACGGCCAACACGATCTACCAGCCAAAATGTAGGCAGGCCAAAAATGACAGTTCCAAACCCTAATGCTAAACTAACGTCGATACTATGTGAGTCAGAAAGTCCTGCTAATTGTAAAACATAGTCAAAGTAAAACATGACTGCATTTACACCACTAAATTGTTGAGCAATTTGCAGAGCCAATCCTAACGTCAATGCTCTTCTCACACTTGGTTTATCATAAACAATACGAAAAAAACTGGGTTGTTTCTTTGCCTCTTGTCTTTCTTTCTCTATAACATTACTCATCACTTCAAGGTCTCTGTCTGCTACTTCTTGTGACTTTCGAAGCTGAAGCAGAGAGTTTCTAGCATTTTCCAAACGGCCCTTAGATAACAACCATCTAGGAGATTCACACGAAAAAGATAGGGCAACTATATCTACAGTTGCAGGTAAAATAACAGCACCTAACATGAATCGCCAACCATGTGATACATTTACGAAAATCACATCCACTATAAAACCGATGAAATACCCAAAAACATATGCTACTTGATACACAGTAGTAAAAATTCCACGTATCTCTGTGGGAGCAAATTCTGACAGAAACACTGGTATTGTACTGGTAAAAACTCCAAAAGAAACTCCTAAAATAAGCCTTCCGAACAATAAAACACCCCAGATGTTAGAAAAGGCTTCGATAAAACCTGCTGCAATGGCATCCAAACCTGCCAGAAACATAGCACCTCTTCTTCCTATTAGAGAATTCAACAAAGTGGATCTAAGAGTTGTTAATGTATTCCTTCTTCAATAAATACGTTTCTTACAGAAGTGAACCCACGAGGGCACCCAACAAGGTGGCAGCTATCGTGAGCCCCTGAAGCGAAGCATCTAGGTTAAACCGCTTTATAAAAAAAAGTTGTGCACCTCCCACAAGTGCTGTATCAATACCGACTACACTTCCACCAAAAGTTCCAACTATCAACACAAGGATAAGCTTCCATGGCATTTGCCTTAAAACACTGCACATATCGTCTTGCAGATTCTTCAAGCAAACACACAATTGACTGTATGTATAAAAACTATTTGAAGAAATTCCGATGTTGACTCGAAGAAATTGTCGCTTGGACAGTTCACCATTTTCAATGCTCTCAAGTCTTCGTCCTTATGTGAATAATTTTTTAAGAGCAATCATCATCTGTCTCCGTTGGTTATCATGCTTGAAACCTATCAACTAAGCTCAATTTTTGTGTCCTTATCTATTTGTTGAAACAAAGAACAACTATAAGTGTGTCAATTTGGAAATCATTTGACTCCTTAGACCACTCGCTGCTGAAAGAACTACACTGGGAATCAGAATACTCTATGGGATTCTGTCACTTGTTAACTAACTTGTGTCTTATTACACTCGAGATAAATTCTTCCAGATCTTGACTGAATGAGAAATACCCTGGGGAGCTTCTTGGGAACAACAACACTAAGATATCTCCACTTGTTTGCTTTCCAACTTTGAAAGTATTGCTTTCCCTATTTGAGCTGTGTTCCAAACGACAGAGGCCATAACAGTTTTGCCAATAGACTTTATTACGAGAATCGACAACTCCGTTAGCAAAACCTCACTCCTCTCGTCTTGGTCATTCTTCATATTGCCTCCTACAGATATCTCCCCACTGTCGAAAAATTCTTCTCAGATCGCCTATGTGACTCTTTCTGACTGCAGCAAGATTATAACTGTTCTACGAACAGGGAGCCTTATTGGTCACAAGGCAAAGGTTTTGTAAAGGATCTATCTACGAAAAGAATTGCTCTCGTTTTTTACAATAGTTATAAGAAAATAGCCTTGTTTTTAAGTGTTTTGTACTAAGAATTGGCGGTGCAAGGTCTCAAATGAAACAAAAAACCAAGCCGATACCCATTCAATAGCTCCAAAGGATTATCAAATCTTCAAAGCAATCTTTGCATCTAACTGTCGGCTTGAATAACTCCACACTCTGTCGAATGAACCAACTTCATCATCCAAAAACTGCCGACGGACTGGAAGTGTTTCATGTAACAAATAATGCTGTTCCTTTTCATAAGCAATACTTGTATTCGGTTGGTCTGTACATTATGTAACTTGTATGTTGCGTGTCTATTGCATTCAATCAGAGATACATAAAAAATCCAATCAAACTATTTAGATAAAAATGACACAATATTTCCTTCTTTAATAGTTTCTCTAGTTAATGACTAGGCTTCCATAATGTTATTACATATGTAAAAGGCAATATCTGGTAGTCTAAGTGAATCTCCCCATAGAGCCTCAGTGACAAGAAAATCTTTACAATTCATATAGAGTACTTTTAAAAGTCAAGACTAATATGATTTATCTGGATAATAATAAAAGATAAAATGAAAACAAATCTCATTGGGTGGGATTTATTCGTATCCTTTTTATACTGTACTTGACAATATTTGACCAGGTAACCATAGAACTTTTGAAACAGCGAAACATTTTTAAATGTTCCGTGTTCTCTGGAGGATTGTTTCCATATTTTGTAGGCAGGTTCATTGTTATTATTACTGTTATTATCATTCTTCTAAAATGTCGCTATAATTGCATTGATAACAGTGCAAAGTCAATTTGAAAAGTTCCTTCCATAGTATATACAGGGTTTTAAAACTTTGGAATATTGTTCTTTTCAGAAAGAGTTCACATGTATATCAAAAAGATTACAAATGTCTGATTGGTCCTAACGTTTTTATTCGTTTTGCTAATAGATTCGAAAACTCTAGTGCTTTGTTATTAGATCCTTCAGTACGGATAAAATACTTTTTCTAAACTATAACATGGAGTACGAGTACTATGGTGTAATTTTCTCAACTTTCCTCACTAGATATACTCTACCATCTTCATTTGATGATGAAACTCCGAGAAAAACAAGTTAAAATACAAACTTGGAATCGTAGAGAACCCTTCAATACTCTCTTCTAGTCGGATGAAAAAGTCGCCTAGTATTCTTTCTGGAGACAAGCAGAAAAAGACGAAAGACAAACATGAATGTATGTAGCAACAACTTGTCAAGTTTTGAAGAGCGTCCAATCTATTTCGTCGTTTTCAATTAGAAAATAGATGAATTTTAAAGTCAGAGTTCAGGTTCGTTGTTATTAGCTTCATTTATGTATTATACAGCACGAAACAATGGAGTATGTCAACCAAATCACAAAACTGTGGTTAGAAGAATGAATTTTGCAAAAGTTTGATATAGTTTTTGACAGTGTCATATAAAAGACCCCCGACTTATGACGACTTTTGAAGGTGTTTGTTTTAGAAAACTTCTCAAATACTCAATTGATATTCATTAAAGAACAATAACGATTTATTCTTAAATATTTTTGGAAAGAGATAAAACTATTTCTTGTAACGTTGCAATGCCAATATTTCTCGAATGTGGATTATCCACAGACTTGAAAGCGTTCCTTAAATTCGATAAAATGTCTTTGCCAATAAAGTTTTCTACATCAGCTTCAGAAAGAATAACCAATTCACAGTTGTGAGGAATCACGAAATCTTCAACACTATCGCCAGATGAATAACAACGACTAGAATGATTCAAGTCCTCAGATACGTTGGTTGCTAACTGAGTACTCATAATAATCAACATACAATGCCATGTAGAATGACTAGTCAATACTAGATCATGAACTGGTTTTAAAAACTTGTGAGCTTCTTCCAAAATTTCATTCCATCGAATACCATTACGACTCCATCGGCCTTTACAAGCAATACCCACAATCATCAAGTTCTTCTCATTCGTTCTTCCATGCAACTTGAATAATATATCTGGACTATGGGATGTTGAATGAAATGGAATATATATCTTTTCAAATTCTAACATTTCTTCCACTATCCTTTCCCATTCATCATTGCTTCCAAATGTCATTCTCTCTGTTCCTGATACAGCTCTGGTATAATGTATAGATTTCATATAATAAGCAGCAGATTCGGAAGAAAATTGCAAATTCATTTCATTCCAAACACGAGACAATTGACCAAGAGTAGAAAACATTGAGCTGTTTGTAGGATGCCGAGAAAAATGTAAATAAAACAGTGTAGCAATAAGACCTTCCAAAATTCGACATTTCGACTCATAAAAGAATTCAACAGATTGAGACTTGAGAGTCTGTAAAAGTAACCATTCTAAACGATCATCCTTTAAGCCTTGGTCAATATATCCAATCAGTAACTTGGGAATCAACACTTCACAGCGTTCGTTGCGGTCTGGTTCTATAACCAATCGACGATAGAGACACATATCTGTAACTAGATCAAACAAAAACACATCAGAATTGGAGCTTATTTGCACAGTTTCATCAAAATCAAATCGAATACGATACAAAGATAATAACGTAAGCATTCTTAACAAGCGCTTACGCTGCTCACTGAGACTTATCAGACGAGGTAAGAATGGCGCAACACAATAATTTGTTACTAGAAAGCTATTCATTATGATCAAGAAGGTTTCCTTAGATAATAAGAAATTGTTGTTGGATGATTTATACAGCAAAAGGTAACTGATTGCTCGAACAAGTAAACCAGGAACACTACCAGTCAATTCCAATAATGAATCTGCCAATTCATTTACTGAAAATGAAGAACTACATAAGACATTACAAACTGGTTCGTGAGTAGGTGTCTTTAGAAGAGTCTTTTCAAGGAATTCAACGATACTGGAAGCGTCCAAAGCTGATAAAGGGATAAAATGTAGTATAACTCTTGATAGCCCAAAAGCCACATAATTCTTAATACTTAAACCCTTGCTTTTCCCAACAACTATAAAAAACAAGTCGGGTTCTTTGCACAATTGACTAATGATACCGAAAAAGTCATTGTAAGGTCGAACTCTACCGTCATGGGTTCTCTTGAAATGAAATTCGTCGAGACTTTCGTCTAGGACACCAACTTCATCAAAAGCTAGAAGAAGATATTGATCAGAAGGAATCCTTAGTATATCTCGTAAAAGTCGAACTAGGTTGGAGGGTTCCATATCCACCATTTCGAAGGCTTCTTTCTTTCGCAAAATTTCCGCGCCAACTTGAGAGCAGGCAGCCTTTATTAACAAATAGTAGACTGCCCACTCAAGGTTGCGTTCTTTCGGGTCTGTGGGCTCCAACTCCTTTAAATCCGCATAAAGCAACGAAGCCCTTTTCAGCTTCTCCAAAAAGGTTCTCCTCGAAGGGTCCGAAGCAAACGTCGACAGAAAAGTTTCACCAAACCTTTGCACCAACTCCAAATAGGTTCGGGCAAAGGTCGTTTTGCCCGAGCCAAAGAGATGGGGGGCAAATGGTATCGTCAAGCGATAGTTGCAACTACTTGTTACATCCCTGAGTTGCTTTCGGCCTTTATGAAGATCATACAACTCTTCTGTCACTCGAAAAACATCTCTTTCACGATCTACCACAATAGACTCAAAGTTGTCCACAGCTTTCCACTTTTCATCCAAACTCGCCATCGCCAAAGAGAAATTAAAACAACCTTCTGTTTATTTCGGAGTACAAATATAAATAAATGAACGATTGACTGTTTGTCGGTCACAACAACAACAAGGAAAACAGTAAAGGATACCAATCCAAACTTCTTCTCTTTATCAACTGATGACTATGTCATACCCTTTATGGCTTGGACTGAGATGACTTGAACTATGGAAGAACGATCAATATGGCTTTTTCAACTATCGATATTTTTATTCTCGTATGCTAATATAATGGTAACTCTCATAGGGTACAAGGAGGATTGGAAGGAAGCCAATGTTTATTTCACAAGTTTTTTATGCTCTTTGAGAGTATAAAGCTATCAAACATGGCCTATTCTCACATAGATAAGAAAGTTTCCTTCAGAATTTTCGAGAATAGTCATGAGAGTTCCGAGCAATATAGATTGTTCATGAAGAATTTGTTCCATAGACGTCTCTCTAGATTTTCTGTATTTTATGGAATAGTTTTCACGTCACTTTTGCTTCATTTCGAAACACGGAACTAGAGTATGAACCAAGTCATTCTCTTCTGTAGTCTATTCAAAAGCTCCAGTTGAAATATATTATTTAGTAGAAATGCAGAAACCCGCAAGCACAACACTGCTTTATTCTCAGCAATCATCAAATTCCTTTCTTACGATATCATGACAAGTAGCAGCTTATCACTAAAGCTACAAAAGTTGATGATAGCAAAAAACAAACCAAAACACATGTGCAAAGAAGGATCCAAAATATCTCGTGGTTTTATCAAATCTCAGAAACAACATTGACTCACACAAGAGTATCATCAATACTCAATTTCTGTAAGAGTCAATAACTCCTGTTTCTTTCTCCTCTGAAAATAGTGGCATTTGATACTGTGAATTCTGTTAAGAGGAGAAAAGATATTTTCAAGAAAAATTCAATTCAGTCGAATTGAGTCTATTCTAGCGACTCTCTTCTCGTATCTTGTCATTGCATAGCATTTGAATCATAGCTGAATTCCTTCTCCTCAATAGTCGACTATACATTTGAGGTGCTTTTGAAGGTAAACATGACCGTTTAGGTTTAAAAGCTTTTGCTGCATCCTCTTGTACGATAAACTTTGTAAAAACCACAACTTTTAAAGATATACAAGAAAGCAAACTATAAAAAGTACAAAGCTACTTTAGGAACGAGATAACTCCAAGAGGGCTATTATCTCTTCCAATATAAAAAAAAGGCAAAACTTTTAAAAGCTCAGCAAATTCAAAGAACGATTTGTTCAGCTCCAGTTGAGTCCTATTCTTCTTCCATTCTCAACCATCAGCTCGTTGAATAAGTGAGTCACTATACAAAAGTTTCTTGCGTTAGGCACTTGGAAGAAGACTCTTGCGAAATATAACCTGATGGGTACACTAATAGAGGCTTCCTTTTGGATATTGGTAACGAGAATCAAAGACAACCCAACGTTTCGTATAAAAAGCGGGTCTATCAATAGAAGGAATGTTCATTTCTACTAGGGACAAGTCAAACTTGAAAAAGAAGAGAAACGCTGTTTTATCCAAGTTGCTCTACAGCGAATAAAAATGTCGTCAACTCGCAAACAATATTCAGCAGAATAAGATAAAACAATTTATCTGATTCCTTTGTTGAGTCAAATCTCAAATTTATATTGTGATTGTTATCCAAACCGGTAAAGGTCTTGTTCTTTTAAATATACTCGATTAATTTCGTCTATTAGTAAAAAAGAATATAAATGTAGAAATAATGGAAAAATAAGAATCTTTCATCTCTTCTTGGCAAAGTAAAAAGGAAAGATGAATCTTGAAATATATGTGCAGGGAGAAGCAAAAGCATCACCACTTTTACTGTTGTTATACTATTGAAAACTCTCAACAAGTTCTTTACGTGGAGAACGAACCAATAGCCTTGAATCGTTTGAGGTTCGATCCTCCTTATCGTAAGTAGTTTATGTACGAATTTGTGTATAGACAAAAGTATTCCCAACCTTTGGTCAGTTTTTTGTTGTAGCCTTGTCCTCTCTATACTTTCCAATTCTAGAGTTGAGTATACAATTTATTCTTCTTTATAACTCGTAATCGAAAAAAGACTGCTCCTTGAGCGTAATTTGCATAGAAGGAAAGGTTCTATCTCTCACATTGCAAGCCAAACAGAGTAATTGTCATTGAAATTGGAAAATGACAATTTTACACCTTTTATGCAGTTTTCCTTCATTTTGAGTGACCAACAAAGAAAGGTTCTCAGATCGAGAACGAGTCAAAAACTGGTTGTAGCAAAACCGTTCTTGATTTGTAATCAAAATAGCGTCACAAGTAGTTTGAAATTTACCTTGCAGAGACAAGATTGATCAAACTCAACTCTTTGAAAAGGCACAGTGTCGATAGTTAGTTGAACAGGAACTTTGTTACAACACTATTTTTCTCCTTTCACAACATTACTATGCTGTGAGATTAGTTGTATCTAGCACATTTATTATTAAAGCAGCTTTTTCCAAGTCTCCAAGTAAAATATTTTCTTTCATAAAACTCACTACAAGATACTACACCTCCAGTAGAAATGAGACAATACATAGCAATTCTTCTCATCACAGTCCAATTGGAAATTACACAATAGTTTAAAAGGGGCCAGTGTTGTTAAGGCTTTGAACTTGGTTAGGTTTACTTCTGAAACTTTTCCGACTTTAATTTCCAACTCATTTGTTGTTTTAGTTGGACAAGTGGATTTCTATTATCTACGTTTCTTTTTTAAGCCTTGCAGTTCATTCCTTTATAAAAATCCTTCGAGTCGTCTTGAGCTCTGAGTTCCGGATAGACTGTAGTATCTTTTTGATATGTACAACATTGACTATCTATTTGAATTTTACATACTTTATGCAAGACTTGTTGTTGTTTCACTTCTGGTCTTGTATGGAAATTTGTGAGCTGTATTGTCAAGAAAAGAGCAAAGACAAAGGAGTTTAAGCTGTTGTTGAGTTTCACTACATTACCCAATTAGTTGTCTCGCAAGTTCATTTAGATTTAGTTTTTACTGATAATTGTTACAGAGCATTTTTGCGTATTTATTAGCAGTTGACAGTCTAGTCTTGTAGTCGGTCGTTGAGAATCAGTCTTTGGGTTAATATTTCAAAGATGTCTTTCAAGAAACCAGTTAGACACTTAGTTGAGTGTTTTGGTCAGTATAAAGAGTTACTTTCCGTATGATAGTTTTTGTCTTTTATGTGACTTCTTTCAAGATGGAAAATTTGGTCTGTAACTCTGCAACAGGTTTTATAGTGTAAACGAACGATATTCGCACTCTTTGTAAAATTCATTCCTTTTCCAGAATAGCAAAGGAAAGTCTCGAGTCCATCATTGCATATTTTTAATGGCTGTTTTTATTGTCGAGCGTTTATATCAATTCTCTATTGATACTTTGAAATATTATGGATGGGGGGCTTTAGATAACGAAAACTGAATAAACTTGTATTTTGAAAGCAAGGGAAAAGTTTTCAGTTCAAAGTATGCTCAACTTGTTGGGAACCATGAAATAAAGCAAGCAAAAGGACACTGTTGAAAATCTTGGTTGTGTTCACCTGGGTAAAATGTTGTGACAATGGCGATTGTAGCTATTAGTCCGTTTTGAGAAACGCCTTTGTTTTTATGAATTACTGGTTTTACCGAAGGTGAAAGATGTTTAAAAGGATATGTAAGTCATAAGAGTCATAGTGGTGAAGCCAGTATTGATAGTGTTTTTGAAAGGCATCTATTGCAAATCGTCTTTGGTCCATAGTACAGTTGGAAAGGAGGGTAACATTAGTAGTACGGTGTGAATGGGAAACAAGGCGACTTGTGTATAACAGTATTTGCATGCCAAGAGTGCTGCTGATCTGCTTTTCTTTTCTACACACTAAAGGTCGTTCTGTTGAAAATAGTGGTAGTTGTAGCTGTCAAAAAGCGAAAAAGAGACTTCACATTTTGTGCAAACAGCTTGCGTTTGGATAGTATACAAAGTAGCTCTGAAAGAAACTCACGAAGGATTGGTTGAACTTCAACAATATTACACGAGTGCAAACATTGATGTCATCGTGTCCGACTAGAGTTTTGGTTTGACTCTGAAAATAAAGTCCAACTTTTAGTAGATAATTCCTAGAAAGCATACGCAGACGAACAAAGTGGTTTGCACATTTGACACGAACCTAAAACATTTTTCTACTATCGCAGCAAAATCAAACCACTCGCCACTACTTGAAATTCAACCAGAACAGCAACAACAACAAATATGAGCCCAAGCCTACTAAAGTATGGCATAGTCATCAAGTCTACAAAGAGAATGACTTGTGTTTCTATCTTTTACTGTTTTCTTCGTTGTTGGCTTGAGTGGACAATTGCAATTGTTTTACTTACTTGGAATTGTAAAATGACAGCAACGACAATAACAACAAGACAAAGTTATAGTGTATTGGTTAGTGGTACATGGAATATTAATAATAGTTTTTGTCATAAAAGTACGAATTTGACCTATTTTTTACCATACAAGAAAATTGCATTGTTGACTCTACAAAAGAAAAAGGCATTATTTGCACACTTACGACTATTCCTGTACCTCACTATCAGTAGGACTACATACGGTCCTGATTTTGAACAACAAGTAGAGTATCGAGTTGCTTTACTGGTCGATTTTCGATTTTGCTTGTATCTGTTTGAGACTAATCTTTATCTTTTGATTCTTGAAACGAACTTATTTGTTATCTCATGATAGTATGATGAAGCAACTAGTCGTCATTTCTTTCCGAAAAACATCGACGTACAACCTGTCAGAAGCTTTTTTCATTGGAAATCCCGAACACAAAGAATCTCTTTGTCCCGTGATAGTTGTTTTGCATTTGTAGAAATGTGTAACTCCAAGTGATCAATTCGAGACAATCTAGTCAGGTGAATCAAGTAATCTTTGACAAGTGAACTTGCAGTATCATGAAAGTGTACAACATACTGTCTTATGTGATCTAGAATCTACTACTGATTTATCTTGATACATTGTAATGTTCTTATGTCGAAACTAAACCTTTTGACTATTTATGCTTCAGAACAATTCCATCTTACTTGTTTTTACCCTAAGACCAGCTTGATATGAAGTTAGTCATCTAGTCGATAAGGATAAGATAATAACTCTATTTCGTTTTTTCTCTTCATTATCGGCGTAATTGTAGAATGGTGAAGATCCTGTTCTTTAGAGTTGCAACATGTTCTAAATACAGTTGAATGCTCATTGTACAAGAAAAGGAATGAAGATGATAAAAAGTAGTATCCAAAGACTGCGGTATGATGTAAATTCAAAGAAAGAATCAACTAGATTTCAGTCAAAGTTCTGTACAAACGATCTATTGGAAATAGAAATTGAACTTGTCCTAGTAAGACCTACTGGTTGTTTTCCTTATTCTTATGAATTGTTATAAAAGACAAAAATTTATGTTTTACATAGTATATATTTTTCGATTGAATAATATAGAAAGGTTAGTTGAAAGATCTTCAAGGAAAAGAAGTAAATCAATACTTCCCTGGCTTCACAGGGTTAAAATATCAGACATATGATTTATAGATTTTGAGGTTGATCCTCACAAAAAGCAGAATCAATTCTGTGATTTTTACACAAGTAGCAGCAAAACATAAATTGATAGTCATGTTCTAACTTCAGGACTTTTATTGTATCCTTTGTTGCTTGAACTTTTTTTACAACCTTTGGTGGTTTTCATTCCCTCTTAATCTTGGACTATTACCACAATTGATTCAAGTGATAAATGACAATGTATTTATGCCCTACCAATACCTTGTTTCTGTTGATGAGTTGAATTTGAATCTAATTTCAGAGTGATACCCGAAACAATTCAGGTTACAGCTGTATTGAAGGAAGTAATAATCACTTGCTTTAGAGTACTCTGAATCTTACCACTTCTAGTTAAATCTCAACAGGAAGAGAAAGTCACTTTTATTTCTTCTTTATCAACGTAACAAGAAACTGGTTACTGTTTTATATTACTTGAATTGTATACTGAATTCAATGATTTACTGTTCATTGGAAAGAAAGTAAGATATCTCTTGATACTGCTCATTTAAAATGACATTTTGTGCAAGAGTTAGTCATTTGTTGATTACCAGTCGAATATCTCATCAAGAAGAAATTCTGTCTCATAAGTAAATGAAATGTCCTCTATGGTTGATTCAACTTTTGAATTCTTAGAGATTATACTGAATCTATAGAACGAATTAAACCCTATCCCGAGAAAAACGATTTTCCATATAGTACTAGTATTAGTGTTATTACTAAAGATACAGAGGACTAGGGAGATGAAGACTTGGTTGAGAAAAACATGGTAGTGTTTGATTGTCCAATTATTCCTCCGCGATACTTGCACTCTATT